CATTTTACTTTTACTCCAAGGAGCTAAAGGCAATTTACTCCTGCCACCATATTTTTATTTTATTTTGCAACTACTTCATGAAGGAGAGACAGGTGAGGATTAGAAACACGAAGGACCCTAAAATTACTGACTTTGCTTCATGGTTGAATGAAGATCTAGATCTGTGCCTCCCTACTTCTAGCCTTACATTCTAACAACTACATCACACTAACTTATTAATTGTTCACTCTGCATCTATGCAGCACATGCATACTTTTTAACAGGAGTAAAATCTTTTATTTCATAAAATATAATTCACACTTCTTTATGTTACCTCAGGTTTAATTGCTTGCATTCTGATGTAGGATTCTTCTAGTGTCAAAAGAAGACGCTTTTGCCTAGTAACATTTCTATAGATTCTCTTTTCCATGGGTGTATTCAAATCCAGAAAATCCACAAATGTAGGGGGATCCTCCATCAATTGTTCCTTTGACCATGGTATCTATAAAATAATTTCATTATTAGTAAGAAAGAGAATGATATCTTCTACACAGTTACTAGAAAATTTATCCAATATTCCTTGTTCTGTATCATTCTATTTTCAATAATCTAAGGGAGCCAGCTATTCTGAAGGAACCTTCAGAGGGAAACAGCTACTAGATTGTTTGCATCTGTAGAAGATTCCATAGCTTCTAACATTTCACAGATAAAGCTTCTGGGGATGAATGGATAAGAAAAGGGATATAGTGTAACCTGCTGCCCTACCCAGACAGGTAATCCCTGATAATACTAGTTCATGTGTTTGTAATTTCAAAGATTGACTACATTCAATGTCCTCTACATGGGCAAAAATTGAGGGCAGTGCAGAGGCTGCAAGAGGTGCAAAATGTGGCGGCTAGGGTGGTTTTGGGCATCTCAATATATGAACATCTCTCCCTGGTCCTGGCTTACCTGCATCGTTTGCCTGTATGCTTCTTTACTAAACTCAAGGTATTGTATTGTTGTTGACAAATAAGGCCCTTAACAGTTTGGGACCTTGTTACTTGTTTGAACACCTTTCCCTGAGATTCTCCACCCATACCACACATTGCTTCCAAGCTTTGATGCTGTGGTGGCTACAACAAGCCGCCCAGAGACCTCTGGGTAGTGTGGGCGGCATATAAATTGAATAAATAAATAAAATAAATAAACAAGGGAGGCCTGGAAATCTACAACCAGGAACTGGGCCTTCTCAGTAGTAGCCACTACCTTTGTCGCAAGGTGGGTGGGTAGGGGTGGGTGGCAGGGGCAGGCCCGCCACCACCACCACCCCGCACCCTCCTGCACCCCCATGGCAAAGTGCCGTTTTCAGAAGCCTCCCAGGTGCTTTTCCACTGCTGAATAAGCCCCGGGAGACTTCTGAAAGCAGCGCTTTGCTGCGGGGGGGGGCAGGGGAGCACATGGGGTGGTGGGCTGCCCCTGCCACCCACCCATCCCATGACAAAGCACCGCTTTCAGAGGTTTCCCCGGGTTTCCACTGCCTGTTTACCTGCTGGGAAAGCCCGGAGAAGCCTCTGACACCCTGCGCCGATCAGCTGTGAGGCAGGGAGGGGGGCGGGAGTGGAGGAGAGCACACGCACACACCCACACCCAGCAAAGCACTGCTTTCAGAAGCCTCCTGGGGCTTTGTCTTGCGAAACAGGGCCATAGGAAAAATCTTCTTGTGAGACACCAAAACCATCACCGGACTCATTCGTCTAGCAAATTTTTCATCCAGCAAGGCAATCATCTTGCAGGGCACCACTGTAGGTAGGTAGGTAGGTAGGTAGGTAGGTAGGTAGGTAGGTAGGTAGGTAGGTAGGTAGGTAGGTAGGTAGGTAGGTAGGTAGGTAGGTAGGTAGGTAGGTAGGTAGGTAGGTAGGTAGGTAGGTAGGTAGGTAGGTAGGTAGGTAGGTAGAGCAGAACTCGGACCCCTATGCGTAAAAAACAGAAAACAGGATATAAAACCCTAACCCTAACCCAGAGAATGATAGAACTGAGACAAGACAACCAACAAGGCACTTCTCTCTTGTGCATACACATTTCATTTTATTGAAGAGGTCTAATAAATACAGGCAATAAAACCTGACTACTTTATAAAGACTATGAAGAGTATTTTAGGCTGGAGTAATGGTAGCATACTTTATAAATACTATTTTATAAAGTGTGCTGATAATCCTAAAGTGCTGTTAGCTGTTAGATTTATATGTGTCTGTACTGCGATTTTTAATTGGTTTTGTATATTTCTGGTTGTTTCGTTGGAAATTTAATTTAGCACTTTACAAAGGTAAAGGTAAAGGTTTCCCTTGACATTTAGTCCAGTTGTATCCAACTCTAGGGGGCGATGCTCATCCTCATTTCCAAGCCATAGAGCCAGCGTTTGTCCGAAGATAGTTTCCGTGGTCATGTGGCCATCACAACTAGACACGAAACGCCATTAACTTCCCACCATGGTGGTACCTATTTATCTACTCACATTTTTACATGCTTTCAAACTGCTAGGTTGGCAGGAGCTGGAGCAAGCGACAGGAGCTCACTCCGTCATGTGGATTTGATCTTACGACTGCTGGTCTTCCGACCTTGCAGCACAGAGGCTTCTGTGCATATAATATTATGCACGATGTGTTAATCACAACTCGACTTACGAACTTCATTCATTTTGGAGCGGTGTTCGTACGTCAAAAAGTTCGTAAGTCGAAGTACCATTTCCCATTGAAATGCATGGGAACAGAATTAATCCGTTCCAACATTTCAAAAAATTACCTTTGGAGGTCTCAAAGGGCTTCCTCCGATGTCGAGGGGAAAGCCCTTTGAGACCTCCAAAGGTGATGAACGACTCCGCACAAAAATGCCACTTTTTGCGAATGGAGCCTCGACCTCGTTCGTAGGTCGAGGCTCCGTTCGCAAGTCAATGCCAATTTTTGCGAATTGAGACGTTCGTAAATTGAAAAGTTTGTATGTAGGGATGTTCATAAGTCAAGGGTTGACTGTATGTGTTAATTATACAATGGATAACCAATGTGATGTAAAGGACAGACTGACAGATTAGGAGTCAGGAGACCAGGGTACAAATCCCTGCTTAGACATGGAAACTTAATGGAGGGTGACACTGGTAAAACTTGGTAAATATCTCATACAACTTGAAAANAGATGTGACAATACTCAACACACACAATCCTATAATCCTATATTACACAAAGTAAACAAGCAAATGATTACTCAAATGATCAAAATCTCTCTCTCTCTCTCTCTTTCACACATACACACACACACACACACATACAAAGAGAGGGGGGAGAGGGGGAGAGAGGGAGAGAGGTGTTCAAAAGAAAAAGGAACCAGGTTTTCTGAACCTTTAATAGCTATGGGCAAGGAGAAATTTCATTCTACTATACAAAGTACAATAGCTTTATCATGTGGCCATCCTCACACATGCATATGTACATAGAACTTACTTTAAAATAGTTATTGAGCTCACTGGCAACAAATTGATAGAAAATCTCTTGTTCTACAGGATCAACCAGGCGATCATGAAAAACCCGGGCAGATTCATGCACAAAGAACAATGCTGTCGTTTCTTTTGAGACAATGACAGATCTGTGAGCTTGAAGTAATCCTTCAAGTAACTATAAATACATTCAAAAGAGACTTATCAGACTGAAAGTGGATTCACATTATTGTTACTTTTAAAAATTATTCTAAGTTACTGCCAGTTTCAATAAATGTAGTTTTATATTGCAATGTGCATCATTTGTTGTTACTGGTTTATATTTGGAAAGTCCTTTGGAAATGCTAATTGACACAGGAAAGGCCACAGTACAGATTTCAGATATAAATAAAATAAACAATGTTTCCATTTTCAAAGTGCAGAGCAATCTTCTGGGGAGTATTTTAGGCTGGAGTAATGGTAGCATAACCCCGAGTACAAAAATAAATCCAGGACCATTCACATCGTGTTGGTTATAAATATACTATTTAATTGTATTTTAATTGTTACATATCTTTATTGTATTTTAAATGCTGTAAGCCGCCCAGAGACCTTTGAGAGGTGTGGGCGGCATATAAATAAATAAATAAATAAATAAATAAATAAATAAATAAACAAACAAACAAACAAACAAACAAACAAATAAATAAATAAATAAATATTTGTTCACTAATACCTCAATGCACAGTATTAATTGCCAGGAAGTGGCATGTGTATTTCCTGCTATTAGCATAATTGTCCTCCAGCTTGTTTGAGTAATCAGACTTGCAAATGAAGTCTGTGCATACTTTCTGATGGTCACAAACCAGGTGATTTGCAAGTTAACTGAGATAAAAAAGTAGTGCTAGAGCTTCATCACTTAATCCAGCACTAATTTTAAATATGGCTGTATTGTGTACTGAGAAACTAAGTGATCTAATTCTGTGATCTGACATAGCCAGATTTCTTAGCTGGGTGAAAAGGGCTGGATTAGAAAGAAGGTAGAACAAGTCTTGAAACTTTTCAAAAACTTGTTGACTGAAGAGTGGGGACTGCCTTCTGGGGAGGAACAGTAGGTATAGAAGCAGACCTATTGGCTGTATTTTGGTGGGACATTTAGGAGTGTTAGACAGTAGAGCTCCCAAGGTCTCCCCATTTCCTTCCTCTAATCCTCCAGCTTCCAAAAAAGAAATATCCTTCTCTTATGTCTGATGAAGTAGACCTGACCACAAAAACTCACATTAAAATTATAAAAGTTAGTCTTTAAGGTACCATGATGTTTTTCTCTCCCCCCCACTTTTGTTGTTGTTGTTCTCACCTATAATGCTGGAGAAGATTGTTGGTCATAAATGTAACTGGCCACAATCTACTATTCATGTGGGACTTCCAACAGCAGCTGTGAACTTAATATGGCTGTGTAATTGGAAACAGACCTGCTTTGCTGTCCTGGTGGATTAATAATTCTTTTTTAAAAAATAAAGCTTTCAAAGAAGCAAAGACTTCCCCACTGGTGACAGGACTATGCGAATTCAGAGGGAAGGGAAAAGATTGAGAAGAGAGGGGAAAGGTAGTAAGAGAATTTGAAAAGGTGGGAGAATTAAAAAATCTAAGCGTAAGTGAATCATAAGAATTATTAAAGGATTATATCAGAGATAAAGAACAGATTGGGGAGGTTAGAAGAGAAGAAATTGTGAAAGTCTTTAAGAAAAGAATAGAGTGGAAACCATGTCTTGAAACAGCCAGCCTGTTGGAAGTTGACACAGAGTGTGGGGTTTATAGTGTAAGTCAACATAATTGAACATTTGACCCCCTCTCCCCATTTGGCATGGATAGTGCTAGGAGTTAACTATTCTTGGATGGCTCCTTTACATAATCATAAAATTAAACATTTAGAATTAAATATCTCACAAAGAAAGCTGTTTGATACTGTAAGCTTATTCAGTAGAATTTCAAACAAAATGAATAACTGGGAAAAAACCGCACAGTTGCTGTATTTAACAGGCAATTACATGTACATTTGAAAATAATTTCTGCTGGCAATATTCAGAGGCAAATATATCATAGCTCTGAAAGCACCAGTCCTAGCAACAACCTTATAAAATTTCTCTGTAAACAGTGAATAAAGATCACCGTATGTCACATTCTTTGGATGCAAATAACAGTGCAATACTGCGTATTCAGGAACAATGTAAACAACCTCTGATTTCTGACATATTTTAAAAATGGCACCTGAGCTAATTCTGTGTTGTCTTCACCTATATTTATGATCAGACTAAATGTTTTGCCAACTTAACAAACCTTAAAAAGATCTCGCAGGTTGAATATGTAATGGCATTTAGCTGGAGTTGGACGCATTTTATAAAACATTCTATAGTATAAAGCGATAGAGGAGCATGTTAAGTAGTCTGTGCATTTCTGAACTTCAACCAAAAATCTGTTGTTGTAAAAGTGTGTTCCTAGACGCACCTGTAGAAAAGAAATGTATATATTTCACAATTTCCACAAAAATATTCCATTTCAACAAAGATTATATGTTAAATTTGTATATTGTACTTCGTTACTAAGTCCAATATGATGCTAAGGTTTTATTATAGAAACCAATTTTTAATATTTAGAAATTAATATCCTGAAATAAATTTAGTTTTAGAAAAGGTAGCCATGTTAATCTGTGCTAGCATGTCAGACAAAAACAAAACAAAACAAAAAACAAACAAAAAGAAAAATAAAGAAAGAACATTGTGGCACCTTAAAGACTGACTGATATACAGTGGACCCTTGACTTACAGACGGCTTGACTTACAGACTTTTTGAGTTACAGACTTCTCTGGCCGCAAAATTCAGGTTTGACTTGCAGACTGAGATTTGACTTACAGACCAGAAAAAAAACAAAATGGAACAAAAACGGCCTGTTACGGGATTAATCGGTTTTCAATGCACTGTAGGTCAATGGAGACTTGACTTACAGACTATTTGAATTGAGACCCGCCTTCCAATACAGATTAAGTTCTCAAGTCAAGACCCCCCTGTATTTTAATGTGAGCTTTTGTGGACAGTGCGAAGTGGACTTGTCTAGAAAAGCCCATATTAAAATATAGCAGTTAGTCTTTAAGGTGCCACAACATTCTTGTCTTTATTTTTATTTTTCCTCAGAAAAAAAATTTGCAGTATTGGGGCCACACTATACTGTACATAACAGATAACCCAGCATCAGAAGATGGAATTTGTCTGAAAGACAAACATATGATTGCTGCAGAAGAAACTTTTCACACTTCTTATATTTTGAAAATCAGCTTGCTTTGTTTTATGAGCAGTTTTCTATATCTAAACACACATTTTGTTTGCAACTGTTCAATCATAAAATTCTGCCTGTATTGCATCTCTGGAATACTAATGGATTTCCAGGTAGAGATGGGCACAAGCTGCTGGTTTGGTGGTTTGTCATGGTTTGTTTACTACTGCAACAGGTATTCAGTGGTTTGGCACCTTCCCCCCTCCAGCAACATCCCATTCAGAGGCAGCATCCCAGCTTCCTTGCTCCTCCTCCTCCGAGTGCTGCCAAATATTTGTTGTGAGGTAAAACACACTGGGGTGAACTGCTGAACTGGTGGTTCATGAACATCTCTAATTTCAGCTTCTAACATTCTATCTATAACATAATTAGATCCCAGTTTTTCAAGTAGGAGTACATGTGGCTCACTACAAAGTTGCCACTTGAAATTTCTAACTGCCTTTGCAGTCAGGAGAGGATTATTGCAAATCCACTGAAAGACTGAATCTGCAACATGACTGGGATCCAAAGGGCAACTTTGTATGTTTTGAAAGCCTGGGATGGTTTCGTTTCTTTTTTCTTTTTCTTTTGCTTTGAACAGCATACTCAAGATCATATTTACATCTGATTTTTTTCAATTTCAACTAAAGGTCCAATTACAGTAATTGTGCAAATGTAATTAACATGTCTTTTGTATGTTACATAACAGAAGACTAAAAGAAACATTAGCAGGTTTTTATTTTTCATATTTATTTATTTATTTATTTACTTATTTATTTATTAGATTTTTATCCCACCCTTCTAGAATATGTCTACTCATTATTCATAAAAACAATTAAAATAACGATTTACATTGACAATATTAATATTAATCAAGATGGAAAATATGAAACAAAAGATTAAATAGAAAGCAAAAGTCAAGTGTTGACAGTAGGGAAGTCTTTAATTGGCTCTTAAAAACACCCAGTGAGGGTGCTAGGCAGATCTCTGACAGCAGGCTGTTCCAAAGTTGAGGGGCCACTGCCGAGAAGGCCCGGTTTCTTGTTCTTTCTTTCCAGGCCTCTCTTGGCATTAGGCCCCTCAGCCATCTTTCTTGGCTATAGCGAGTGACTCGAGTAGATCTAGGTGGGAGAAGGTGTTCTGCTAGGTATTGAGGTCCTAAACATTGTGTTAATTTTATATTGCCTTTTTTTGGTTTGATTACTTGTAGTTTCATGCTTCTCTTTCTGTTCAACACCCAGAGTAGCAAATCGCCACTAAGTCAAGTGGCATATAAATAAATAAAAGAAATAAATATAAATATTTTCTTCATATCACAATCCTGACAAAAGGTATCTCCCAAAAGCTAATGCTTGCATTTCAAGGATACGTCTTTGGGGCCAATAGCCTAATGTAGCTACAGTTTACTTTACATGTTGTGGAGCACTTTTGTGGACCACACAGTTAAGATACAAGAAAAGACTCCTATTCAGGCATTAATAAAAATAATTAAAGTTGATGTATTAGGAGAAGAGTGGACTTCCCTCTCACTCCATTGTTAACAAAGAATGACAGTTTAAGGAAGACAATATCCTCCACGTGTGGAGCCTGTTCAGGTGATTGACAAGAACACCTGATCCACATAGAGAAGTTGCATGCTTAGAGGACACCATCCTCTTCACACAGTTTCTCTCTACATGCAGTGAAAAATTGCAACGGAGGTGGAAGTCGCATACTCCTCCCTGCTCACATCGTTTTTAACACTTCATGTGAATATCTGAATAAACTTCATTGCAATGCCTTTTCATTACCTCTGTGAACTCTTATCTCAACTGACACATTTTTTGTCAATGGGATTTGAGCCACATTTTTGTGAAGGGAAACATATCTAAATTTTATATATATGTTAAAGCCTTGTAATAATTGCTTCTTTGAATTGTGGTGCTGGAGGAGACTCTTGAGAGTCCCTGGACTGCAAGGAGATCAAACCTATCTATTCTGAAGGACATCAACCCTGAGTGCTCACTGGAAGGACAGATCCTGAAGCTGAGGCTCCAATACTTTGGCCATCTCATGAGAAGAGAAGACTCCCTGGAAAAGACCCTGATTTTGGGAAAGTGTGAAGGCAAGAGGAGAAGTGGACAACAGAGGACGAGATGGTTGGACAGTGTCATCGAAGCTACCAACATGAATTTGACCAAACTCCTGGAGGCAGTGGAAGACAGGAGGGCGTGGCATGCTCTCGTCCATGAGATCATGAAGAGTTGGACATGACTTAACAACTAACAACAACAATAATTGCTTTGTTTTGAAAAAAGGGAATTCAGCAATTCCTGATTTATCTTGTATTTTACCTGAAAGATGCGTTGCAAAGATTGTAAAGATGTCGCAGGCAAAACAAATGTGCAAAAATGTGTCAGAAGACGAGCACTAATCTCATTACTTCCTTCACTAGGAGGTGTACAACTTGCAACCAAGGCAATGTCCTGAACGTGCTGTGAGTGAAAGTCAAGGTAATCATTTAAAAGTGAAGAACACTGTAACAATCATAGTGCAAAAATATGACTCAAATAACATTCGTGAAGAATTTAAAGACCACATAAAAACACATTTGCATTACTAAGGTCAATCAATCAACCATGAACCAGGAGTACTTGGGATGAAACCAGAGGCATTTTCAAGGGAAAAAAGCATATTGTAGTCCAAAGAAAAGAAAAAACTTCAAGGAGTAACTGATGAGGAGTAAAACTGAATTAGGGTCAAAATCCTAAATGCAACCTGCATGTTGGGACAAGGAGAACTACTACTACTACTGCTACTACTACTA